ATATAAATATACCATATACCAGAGTTGGCGCTCATGTGACCTTATGCAGTTGCGAGCGCCGTAAAACCGTCTACTATAAAAAAAATAAATAAAAGATGATAAGAACAACGTTCGTCCAGAAGAACGCCGACAAAACGGCCCTGAATATAGGTACAAACAAACACCAATGTTTGCAGAGACGGGGAACTTCATCGGGATTTAGATCTCGTACGTGTATGTATCAACAACTATAAAATGTGACTGTCACAAACAGAGATACAAGTTATCTTCCAACACCCCCAATATCTGCCAGATACCTCGAATTTCGAGTAAAGCACATTCTGACACGCTGAGGGAAATTGACAATCACCCGTTGACACCTCTCTATAGAAATCTCTTTCGTGTCCTCCCTGATGGTCTCTCTCAAGTCTTGGATGCTTTTTTGGGGTTTTTTTGGTAAGTGTTTTACCAACTGCATAAGGTCATATTATGAGCGCACGGGACACTTTAAACATTTTTCTGTTGGTAGGAAATTTTGAATTTTGCCCGGATGGCGGCCGAAGCTTAGTATTATCGATTTTAGACCACCGAGGGATCTTTAACTTGCGCAACCTGCACTCAGGACCTCCAAGATTTTTTGGCTTTGTCCGAGAAGGCTAGGGGTAGATCTTTCCTACCAGAAGATGAGGGGTGTGGCTGAAAGACAGCAGTAAGAAGGAGCCAAGGGGTAGCAGTAGAAAGGCTGCAGAAAGAGTCAGGAGCCCAGAGGAGGGGCCAAGGGAGGTGGGGAGGTGAGGGCAGAAAGTGGAGACGAAAGCAGACGACAGAACATTGCTAGAAAGCAGGAAAGGAGACAATTTTACAGAAGCAAATGTTTCGGTTGCTATCGGGATTCGAACCCCGGACCTTTGAATGAGAGGCGAACACCTTAACCTCTAGACCACGAGAGCCCCCTTTAGTGTCCTCCGTGATGGTTTCTCTCAAGTCTTGGATACTTCGGAAGATTTCCCCCTCCCCCCCCCCTTCCCCACAGTTTGTCTTTCCAACACCCCCAATAGAGAAAGTCCAGCGGACTCAGGTCTAGATTGTTTGGGATCCACTTGTGCTCAGTCGGTGGCCTAGTGGCTAGGCTCTCAGACTCGCAAACGTAAGGTTGGGGGTTCGAATCCCGTCATGGACCCGACGTTGTGTCATTGGGGAAGGCTCTTTCCTCAAATTGTCCTCACTTCTTTCAGGTGGGAATGGGTACCCGGCTATAGACAGCGAAAGATCTTGTCAGTTTTTTAGTGTTTGAGCGCTTAATCAGCTGCTTTCACTGTATGCTTCCCGGGAAGCTGAGAATGTTTCTAAGTGTTCTATGGTCTGCTGGGGTAATAATATAGTGTAAAGCGCATAGAACTTGCTGTAAAGAGAGGTTATGCGCTATACAAATGCTGTCTATTATCATTATTATCATTATCATTATCATTATTATGATGATAATGATTATTATTATTATTATTATTACCATTATCATTATTATCATTATTATTGTTGT